TGAGTCTTTAATTGAAGAATTTAATTCATTCATTAGTCTAAAAGTAGAGTCATTCGCGATTTCGCGGTTTTCGCGTCATATTACAGCAACGGGGCCACCGGTAAGTTCAAACGTGGTCCCGCATCGTGGGACTACGGTCATCTCGTCGTGGGCGCGCACTCTTCGCATCGTGGGACAGTAAAGGTAGGTTCCTGATTGCTACGTGGGACTGGAGTTGAAGATACAGCGATGGACGGCGAGGGACTACGCGCACAACGGTACGTTATTATAAATAATTTATTCTTCTCACATAAAAAGCACCTCACTGTTACAAAAGTTGCTTTTTTATATATATTATCTTTAAATTCTCTTTAAATTCTCTTTAAATAGTCTGGAAAAAAATATCCTTTATATATGGACATATCCTATATCTGATGATGTTTAATTAGATACAATGATATATGAGATCATCTCAATCTCATATAAAATTATTTTGTATACCTAGATATAGAATTTGAGCATATATAAAGGAAAAATAATAATTTAGAATTAAATAATCGATTATGTTTCATATCTCTACCATGAAAATTTTTGAGAAGAATAAATTATTCTGCATGAGTAGTAGTCGCACTGATTTTTCAATATATTGTCACTCCGTATAATCCTGTAATTCCAAAACGCAAATTTTAGAGAAGAGCAGTTTAAAAGTTTAAAGTTTCATATAGTTTCCCTAGTTAAGGGATCATTCGGTTTCAAATTTTTACTTATAAATATTTTTTTAAATATTTGGTGACCATAAAGAACATGACTTTCTTAACTCGTTACTATGCAATAAACTGAAAATCCGGTATGTGACACTTATGTAATTATACGTAGGGAGTGACGATATATTCTTTTTTGATAAAATGTCTATATATTTGTATATAATATTTTTTATGTATGTGCTTTTTTTTAATATATATTTATCTATATTTTGTACATCTACTTTCATATTTCTATATCACTTTCTCTTAAAGAACCGATATAGAATTTTTTCTATATATATTTGTGCTTTTTTAATTTTTTTTTATTTTTTTCAATATATATTTATCTATCTTTTCTACTTTCATATTTCTATATCACTTTCTCTTAAAGAACCGATATAGAATTAGTTTTTGAAACTTGTGTTCTTTTATATATCACTTTTCTATATCACTTTTCTATATCACTTTCTCTTAAAGAACCGATATAGAATTGTTTTTTGGAGGCTTATGCTCCTTATATTTATTCTCTTCTAGTTTATTTTTGCAAAAATATATATTTAAATATATATTTGAAATATATGTACTTAAATATATATTTTTTCTTTTCTTTTATTCTATCTCATCTATTTATACATATGGTACGCTTTTATTGGGTGGGTATATACTCTCTTTAAATCATAAAATATAAAAACTCGGTCGCGAAAGTAAAATAAATTTAAAATAATACTTTTTAATTTTAAAACAACTGTCCCTCGCGTAAAATATTTGATAGATTTTAAAACTTTCCAAAGTAGGTAGGTAAATAGGTATCTGTGTAGGTAGGGATGCGTATATACAAGCACTTGTAGAAAATATATTAGGCCGGGTAGGTAGGAAATTTTTTAAATCGAGTAGGTAGGAAATGTACTAGACCGCGGATATAGTTAGGAACAAACATGTAAGATTAGGATCAAGGCATGTGCCATGCAGCCTTAATCCTGATTAACAAGGCTAGTAATGTTTAAGATAGAAGTTTAGGGTAGGACATAGCAGGTTTAAAAATTAGGAAAAATGCAAATGCACTGATTAATATGAATCACTGCATATGCATGTAAATGTAAGATTAAATTTCGTTTATGTAAGGTAAGGTTACATTTATTGTATGTAAAAACTATATATAAAAAAGACTACAATAATAAGAATTCGAATTGTAAAACATCAGTAAATGAAATTTATATCGAGAATTTAATGTGCGATGAAGTATAGCATACAATAAGTGTAATGTTACCAGAAATATTGCCATGTGTGGTTCGTATTTATTATGTATGTACTTTATTGTATCGATATATATGTAAAAAACTTGCAAAATTGTAAAACTCAAAAATTGTAACACACTTTGATAAATTGTAATAAACCAGTAAAAGATATATTTTTTGAAAATGCAACTTTTCAGACACGCATATATTTGTGTGCCGTCAAATCAATTTTAAATATTATACTTATTTTATTTTTTTTACTGTGTACTGTAACTATATGTATATATGTAGCGTTTGTAAAAACAATAATAGCAAATAGCAGCAAATGATGATAAAGAAGATGGTACCTGAGTACACTTTACAAATTCTGATGCTGCTCGCTAAAATAAGATTCTTTTTTTGACTATCACATCTTTTCTGGTATGTCACATTTATGTTGTACGAAAAGTTGCAATGGTTTTTCTTATCCTTTTCTGTTTTCCTTTCTCATCTTCTCATCGCGAGATCGGTCTCATTTTAAATTTCAAAAAAAAATCAAATTCACGCTCTCGAATATACTCACACACTTAAAGAAAGTGACCATTTAAACTCGTGCACATAGCACAGAATAGAACCGCACGCTGTGGACATACCGACATGTCGCTCGTGGACATACCGACATGTCGCTCGTGGACTGGCTGCGTAGTTCCAATGTGTACCACCCGTGGACATGCGCTAGTTTACGGGGCGGAAAAGTGATGACGCATTCTTTTATGGACGTGGTCGCTCTCAGACTTCTTTCTGCTGGAACACAAGGCTTATATCGATGTTACTAGATTTTGCGATTGGTAACGTCGGCGTCAGTTCAAGTTGGGTCAGCTTTGATTTGACATTTGGCTGATTTCGGCTGTTACGAGAAAATTGTGTATTGTGTACATTTTTTGTGTACAGGTATATTCTGAAGAAAACATTTAATAAGTTTACTTGAAACCATAGAAAGGTTACGAAGAATGGAACCAGACGAGATCGAGATCTCAAAGCCAGAAGCAAATATTCGGAACGATAAAAATGTCATCGATTACGACGAAGACAGAGTAAGGTCAGAATTATTGGTTATGTTTGTAGTGTTGAACATTTACGAAATTGTGTGAAATCCGAGTGTAAGTGATGTATGTAACAAACTATCGCTGTGTGTAATTATTGAAGTAATAATAACTAAATTGTTGAGGTACATATTATTGCGACATTGTTGTGCAATGCAATTTCATTTTGTGTAAAGGTATTTACATCGTTGCCTGTACTGTATGTTTATTCTGAAAATATAATTTATTTGTGTGTTTGTGCATTTCGATATGAATAGGTGAAAGGCATTAATGCCGATCTTTGTATTCGGGCAATGCATGAATATAAAGTGTGTGTATTAATTAATGAAGTTGAAGTTTGTTTTGTATAGAAATGTTGCGACTATACAATACAAATGGTAAAAATGGTTTTGTCACATATTGTACATGTACCTACATTGTACAATGAATCAAGGATTTTAGAAATATACATTATCAATATGTAGATGTTCAACACTGCTTGCGACTTAATTATCAGAAATTTTTTTCTTAATAAATATTTATATATGATTGTATTTGATGTTTTTAGTTGCATGAGATGACAGCATCCTATTCAGAGATATCGTTTGATTCACAATCCTCACCGCCTATCTCCGAACTGAGATCACTGATTGATTCTCCAGACATCGATAGCGGAAAGTATTTTGACAACAATCTTGAGAAAATGGCTGGGATTGGTCACAGACCGGATCAGTTGGATTTGAAGAGCAGAGGTGGGAGTCCCACGGAAGACGACGATCTCGATCCACCGAGTTATCACAAGGCCATAGGTTACCTGCAGTTAGAAGGTAGAGTGATGCAGGATGGCGATATGGTGTTGTTCGTCACCGAGGATCTGGAAAACAAGATCAAGTTGTCCAGTCCTGTGACCAAGAAAGGAGAAACCCCGTCATTTCCGGGATCGCGTAGTTCAACCCCGTGCTTGTACAGACAAGCTCTGACTCCACAGTTACCGTCTCTCGATCATAACGTACTGAATGAACTGGAAATGGAAGCTAGAAAAATTGCGACCTCCGTGGACGCGTTGACCGAAAATCTGGCTGCAATTTTACAAAATGCAAGTTATTAAGTGTTTTAATTTCATTTTACAATGCTGGGCGCGCGTGATCGTTCGAATTATTTATTTATCGCGCTTTACTTTCCAGGCGTCAGCTCTCACAGTTGGTTGTTTAGAAACTTACAGAGATGCGGTATGCAAAACGTGCGACGCAGTGGATCACAATATAAAATCAATGTATCAATTGATGGCAAAGTGCGAGGAACTGTCCAAGTCGATGGCACCAATTTACAAGTTAGCCGAACAAGTGTAAGTGCTTGCAAGTGTAAATGTTTTAAGTTAAACAGAAGAATGAAAAAAAAAAAAAACAGTTTGTTTTTTTTTATATTCTTCTGCGGTACTTGCAAGTGTGTTTTAATTTTCAGCAAAGAGATAAAGAGAATGTTGGAACTCTTCGAGATGAATCTGTAGAGTATCATGGGGAAGAGAAACGCTGCAGCGTCTCGATGGCGATTAATCGTCTTGTCGTACGTTTGTTGGAAACTGCACATTGTCGTATTTTAATTCATGATGCAGCTGAAATTATTACGTATAAGGTACAATGATGTTTTTGCTTTTATGAAATTAATCGAGCAAGTAACAGAGAGGATTTAATTTATCGAATATTTTCTACGATTCTCACGAGAGATACACAAAATACGTAAAAAAAAAATACGATAACTTTGATATTTAAATATATATATATATATATATTACGCGTTTACAACAATAGTTGATTAGTAATAGCTGATTAAAAAAAGTGCTGTTTGTTGAAAAATAGTTTTACACAGTGCAATCGTTAAATGATGGGTTTAATTTATGCACGTTAACGCGATGTTAGTTCCTATACAATTATTTTCCATATTATTTTGTACATATGTGCTGGAGGTATAAGAGTTAAATAAAAGCAAGATTCTGTTTTATGTGGCCGTGTCTGTTTAAAAAAAAAAAAAAAAAAAAAAAATAGACACTTGTTGCAATTTCTACTTATTGACGCTTTGGCAAAAAACCAAATGGGTGTAAATCCGCATTTACCGCTCTTATCGGTTCAAAGTGAAGAGTAAAATCGGTTTACACGGAAATATGACGGTTATTTTCGAATCGCTCGCGAAACACGTTGGCGAGAAAAACATCGTGGTGTAAACTGAAAATGATGCAAAGAGAAAGAAAGAGAAAAGGAGAGGAGAAAATTTGATGAGAAGCGAAAGGATGGCGTTAGAAACGAGGGTAGAAAATGGCTCGGAAGTACAGCAGCGACGTCTACTTTGTAACCGTAGACCGATACAGTGGAAGCGGCTGTGCGGATATCATATTCCAAGATGTGCATTAGAGACACCGAGCCGCCCGCCGGTTGGAAGAGAGGGAAAGAGAGACTACGCGGGCTGGTTGCACTCGCCCATCTTCCTTCTCGCCCTTTTACCTTTTTTTTTTTTCTTTTTTCTGCACAAGCGGGGACCTCTCGCGCACAAAAGATGATGTCAGTGATATCGCAACCGTTCTTTCTGTCCGCCGTGCCCCCACGGTTGATAAATGAGAATTCCGGAATGGCGGCCATTAATCGTGCGGCCGCGGGAGAGACCGAAGAATTAACGAGTTGCGTCTTATCGGTAACGCGTTTATTTAAGAAATCGGTCGATCGAGAGCTAGATCTGCGAAAACGACAAGTCTCTCGATCAAAAAAAAAAAAAAAATAGAATGTTTTTCAACGTTAAATGCGATTCCCTTTCTTCCCGATCCTCCTCTATTTTACCCTGTTTCTTCATTTCGTTTATTATGCGCGCGCAAAGCGCGTTGTCGCAGTACCGTCGTTGAAAAATTTCGCATTTATCTATCCTCGACGCGCGGCCGTATAATATCACCGAGCGAACGAATAAACTGGTTTTCTCTCGCCGTGCCACGAGTCGCGCGCGGCGGTGCCCATTGTGGCACTCCGGGACTGTAAATAATACCGAGCAAAAAAGCTTCTCTCCCGCGAGCCCCCCTTCGCGGCGCGTTGCAACGCGCGCGCCTCATTTAGCGCATTCGTCCGGCGGTAATTATTAAAGCCACGATGATTTTAATCCCGGCCGGATAGGGAAAAAGGAGCAACGCGCGCGCGCGCGCGCTCGCGATGGCGGGACAAACACCCTCGTTAATTTATTTTCCTCTGACTCGCGACGGCCATTGAAAGTATATATACGCGGGTCGTACACGGAGCCGCGCCTCCGGAGGAGGCTACTGAGATCTGATTTCCACCATTGAAACACTGATGGCGCAATTTACATTGACGCTCCCTCCCTTTTACATAAAAGGCATAAAGAATTTATTTTGTATTGTACACGCGGAGTTTTTAACCACGTCGTGGCGCACAGTCGCGCTCTCGGAATATTTTATTACTCTCCTCGGTATTAATCTCTCTCTCCCGCGGTTCTCTCGAACATTTTTGTGAATAGCAGCTACGCGAGTTTCTTTCGCAGTATACCGTTTGCAATCACAAAGCAAAAGATATATATTATGCTCAATGTTTTTTCTTTTGTAACAAGACACATAATGTGGTTAAGATTTGAATAAGAACGTGAATTGAAAATTTTGTTAAATACTGTAAAATTTTTTCGCAAATGTTTTTTTTTCTTTTTACAAGACACAGAACGTTAAAGTTTGAATGAGAACGTAAATTTAAAATTTTTTTAAATACCGTAAAAAACTTTTTCCATTGTGTTTGTTTTAACTCTGATTAAATCGCTAAATTTACAATAATAATCGACGTTTTCAAACGAAGCCTTTATCGATAACGATTAGCAAAATGTGCGTTTCGATTGACACAAGAGCGATCTTATCCGCACCGCGTCAGCTAAACGTATCGTCAATCTTCGAAACGGGATTTTTAATTTTCAGTGTATAAATAAAATTTAGACGATGACATTTTTTAAATTATTCAATTATTTTCATATATTGCGAATTCACGTTCAACTTAACTATTTCGAAGTGCACGGTGTATCGATCACATTCGAGTGTCTCCGTAAACGCGGGTATGCGAAAAGGGAGGAAAGACCCGGGGAGGAGAGCTTTTGCTCGAGTAGTCGCTGGCCGTGTACGGTGTATGCCCTTTTCTTTTCGCCTACGCGCAAAATGATGCTTGCTCGGTCGTCAGTCAGCGCGTACCTAAAGAGAAGGGAAGACAAAAAAGATGAGCGTATAATGACTAAATAAAAGATGGAGAGAGCGACAGATAGCCGCCGGCCCTCGCGTTTATTTTTCAACACATTGTGCGTGTGTCGACCTCCGGTGGCCAAAGCCCCCCCCCCGGTTTCACGTTCCGACGTCGCGTGGCCAACGGGATAAAATCGCAACGACCTTTTGCTGTTTCTTCTGTACACGGAAGAGCGGGCTTATCGCGGTCTCGGTGTCGCGCGCGCGTCTCCGCTGATATCCGATTAATGTTAAAACGATTAACGACGCGTGTGAGTTAGAGAGAAATACATATGTATATATAATATC